GTGTGCGTGTGCGTGTGCGTGTGAGCGTGCGTGTGTGTGTGTGTTGTGTGTGTGTGTGTGTTTGTGTGTGTGTGTGGGTGCACGCCGCACCTGCGGCTTCCGAGGCGAAGCACCTTCCCCGGTTGCTGCTGGACAAGGTGTTGCGAATCGGAAATGACCGAGAATCTGTCGCGCTGGCTGACCTGTCTCCAGGGTTCACCTGATCAGAGCTTGCACATCCTGGCATCATCGCTGGCGATTTACGGTGTCGGCCTTGGGACGCTTTTGGTGAAACGGGGGCTGCTCCTCTCACCCTGCACGAAGAGAGCAGGGGGTCCAAGCAAGTGCTCAAAAGTGCTCAAGCGCTCGGATGATTTTAGCGGCTTTAGTGGCTTAGCAGGTTTGCTCTCCGTAGGCCGGGTCACATGGGCACTGCAAGAAATTGGCTGACTAGCTTACCTGGCCTTTCTAAACGCTCACCACGCACCCACTTGGACCTGGGTAGCCTTTATGGCTTCATGTGTTGCGTGGGTTTGAATTCCGAACCCAGGCCCTTCCACGAAATACCTGCGTCATACTGACACTCTGGCTTCCCCCCAGACCCCCTCGACCCCCCCAACATCTCCATGATTGAGGTTATGAGCGTCTGGTTGCTATGATCTTGCGCCGCCTTGGCATGACGAGGAGGGTGCTGCAATCTTCGCCAGCCTGTGCGCTCTGGGAAGTGGTCGAAGGATGCCCTCAACCTTGGCGGCCATGCTCTCCCTTTTCGCTGCTTTGCGTTGCGCCAGGGCCTCTGTCAGGTCTGTGTCCAACAAGATTGCCACTGCAGTGGTGGCTTTTCGAGGTCCAGAAGCTGAAGGACCGGGAGACTGCCAGCAGGACTGCACTCGAAGCAATGACCTGCAAGAAGAGCGACCGTTGGCAGCTGAAGAGATGCTTTTGCTTCATGCAAAGGCGGCTTCAAGCCATTTCTTGCTCTCTGTGGAGGCTGGCAGACGTCTTGAAGCCTGGCGTGGACTTCCTCGGGAAGTGGATGGGGCTGTTCCTGGTGCGCCGGTGGCGTGAACGTAGAAAGTGTCATGCATCAGGCTTTCTGAGGTCAAGTCGCGTTTCAAGCAATTTGCTTTGCTAATCTGTAGCTGGAAGTGTCGACATCTCTTGAGGCTCCCCCGCTGGTCTCCCTGGATGCCTCCATCGCACGACTGCCATCCTACAGTGGCCGGCTCACTTTGGCCGTCAGAAATGCAACGATGAGCTCCGCGCCGGATGCATGAAACTATAAGGTGGGGGAGTTTGGGCAAACACATCGTTGTTGCTGGGCCTTGGATGGGGTGCGACGCCGGCCTCTCAGTGAATGTGCATGTGCTATACAGGACGTTGGTTGAGCGCCTACAAAGGCACAGTGCTGCTGCTGCTGTCGCCTCTTCCCTGGTGCCGCAGTCTGCCAAGCCTGGTGCTTGTGCTACATCGTGGGGGGCCTCAGTTGCTGGAGTTGAGGCGATCCCACACGGAAACGTGCCAAGCAGCTGATGAAACTCACTGAAGGTTTCTGAGCCGCTTAGAGAATGCATGAGGTTGAGCAGGGACAGTGCTTGATCCGGGTGAAAGTCGAACTACGAGGGAGCATCGTAGACGATTGAGGCGATATCATACTGTGACATACTGATCCTGACTGCTTCAGGCTTCCCATTCCACCAAAAACCGCAGCCATACTCATAAGATGTTCATGGTGCTTGGTCGCACACGCTCAGCTGGTTTGCAGGATGGCTGCCAAGTCCGTGGCGGCGCCTGCTAAGCAGGTCGCCAACGGCGACAAGCCGGTAGAGAGCCAAGTTCCGTTCCGTGTGCATGGTTGAGCATCTTTGGGCACTACAAGGTCTCCCAGGACGAGGCGGTACGCCGTTCCTGGGTGTTGCTGGGTGCAGCTGGCTTTTTGGGAATGTGGAGGGCTCAGTCACAGGATTGACCGCTAGCGCGGGTACCGCCTAGGCCGTCGTGGTCATTTAGGAGCAGGTGCTCAGCTGCTGCATCGCCGTACTACTGCTTCGGCCATGATGACTATCGTTTGATTTGAAGACTGGACACCGTAAACCCTGGATCCCAACTGCAATGTAGAGGGCAGGACCGTGACTGCATTGTTGGGAAGGAACTTGGTGGTTGCTCAAAACGGAACAATGTCACCCCTGCACGTAGGAATCAGGGAGAAAACTTCGAGGGTTGTTGAAAAGGGGGGGGGTCCACCGAACTACTCGCTGTCATACTACAAGGTACCTCTTCCTTGTGCCAAGATGAGAATTGAATGGCAGAAAGACACAACAGAACAAATTCGTTTTTGGCTCAGAGGTAGTGTAAGTACACTCTTTAGCAGCACGTACCGGAACATGGTGAAAAGATTCATCATAGTGACACCATTGTGAGATCACCGGTTCTGTAGGCGACAGAAATCCTTTTCCCGCTCGGCACTGAGGTCAGAGCAGAGGTCAGTCTGGGGTGTCTCACAGTTCATAGCCTTTCGTCGGCCCCCCCCATTCTTACATCTGACGACACATGACCACACAGTCACGGACGTGGCAAACGCCCTGTCTTTACTTCACGGTCTAGTATACCCAGTGGTTCTCACCCCCCTGGTACTGCTGTACTGTCCAGCATGGCGTACATATGGCAGAATTATCAGATCTCCACCTTCTATTTTGACGCCGAATCTCCTGCCTGATATGTACAGAAGAACGAAGCGGGAAAGCTGAGAGTGAAGCACTCAAGCCAAAGCACGGCCCCCGACCGAGCCTCATGAGCCTCAAGCTCCAAAACAAAGAGAACAGAAGAGATGCTCTTGAAAGGCTGGGGGAATCAGTGCCCCGGGGACGGGGGCCCGCCTAGCTTTGCTGAAAGTCGCTGCCTGAGGGCTTGTTCTCCGGCTCTACCTTTGGTGCTACATCGGCCACTTGGGTGCTGCGCTTAACGCTTCCCACGCTTCTTAGCCTGCGAATCTGCGAATGAGGGATGTGCAGATGCCTTCCCGCCAGGATGCTCTGCGAGATGAGCACCACGGTTTCTTCCTTCGCTTTGGCGAAGCTCCTGCCGGACGCCGTGCAGGACATGTGCCAGTGCAGAAGCTGGGACATGTCCGTCGGCAGCTTGCTACGCTGCTCAGCGCGTGCTTCACCCCCTGGTGATCTGTGCGGTGTCTTCCAATCTGGCGCCAGACTGGCATGTTTTTTGAAGACTTCCGAGGGCTTTGGATCAAGGCCTCGCTTCTGAGCTCTGAGCTGCACGGTGCCAGATCACGATTCGTCGGCCCGACGGCACCTTATTTCGATGAAGGATGCGGAGCAATTGCCTCAGGCTCTCGTTCAGTGCGAATGCCGGTGTCCTGACAATTGCTTCGAGGTCGGAGACAAGCTTTTCCAGTGGCTTCCGGCGGCTGTCACGGGCGAATGCCTCAGATTCCCGCAGCCAGACCCTTGAGTGTGGCCACATATGGTATCCAGTTTCAGCTGCCGAAGCAGAAGGCCTCGCTAACCCAAAGGCTCGCTAGAGCTTCCTGAACGAGGAGTCTCACATGGCATTCGGAGTCGTTGTCGGTTGCTTCTCGTAACTCCGTCAAGTCTTGTAAGACATCAGAGGTACAAGAAGCTACCAAGTACCGAGGACGTCTTCTAATGGCTTCGGAAGCAGAGACTTCCATGCTCGGACAGTCACTTCCGTCGGTGGGAACGAGTTGCTGAATTGCGGCCATGTCAGGTCTTGGCGTGAGAATGTATTCCACCACCCCTCTTTGGCTGGACAACGCAGAGGATTTCAAGTGTGTGCCATGGCTGCAGCTTCAAGAACCAGTCAACTCCAGAATTCCAGGTGCGAGTGGTAGAATCCTGCCAGGTGTTGGCCACGTGCTCGGCATCCGGCTGCCGCTCGACAAAGTCGACTCAAACTTGCTGTCCTTCGGAGCTCGGCTGGCCGACATGGCAGGCTTCTCCATTTTGCTCTCGACGCTTGCTGCGGTGAACCAGAAGTCCCCACTCGCCGTGCCACCTCCGGTCGGGGCCCCACAACGCACAGCACGTCACGGTCCCTCTACCTCTGCAGCTGAGCTCTGCCTGGTGCTCTCAGCTCTCGCTTCCGCTGCTCCACCGCTCGGTGATGTCGGCTTTGGGAATCGAGGGCTCTCAGGCCAGGCGAGGGCATGTGCCGCTGCTCTGGCTCTGCGCGCATGCGGAGTGCCCTCGGAGGCCATCGGCCCGGAGTGTGATCCCAAACTAGCGGTGGCTTCCATTCTCATCACAGGGTCGAGGCCTCTGCGGTGTCCTCAATGCAATCCTCTCTGCCTGCAAACTAAGATGCATCGGTGCTTCTCTGGGAAACGCATTGCTGGAAGCGTTTCCAGCAATCTTCAAGTCGTGCTTCCGGCAAGTTTTCAGAAGGCAAATGAAGGCAACTGCAAGCCCGAAGATTTCAAGTGACCAGAGGTCCTCGCCATTGGTTCGCGGTGTCGCTATGGGTTGCTCTGCACACTCCATCGGCACAGCTGGGCTGATCTCCCTTGGGGACCGAGTTCGCAGCCGATGTGGGCTTTTGGAAAGGGTCGTGGGGAGACCCAGCTTGAGGACACAGACGCAGCTGCGATTTCTGGTGCCTCGATGCCCGGACCTTGTTGACCTGGCATGCTGCCACATTCGGAGGTGTCCACGCAACTCATGCTCAGTGCTTATACGAGATGCTTCTCGGCAATTCTAGCATCGAGGTGCCTGGCTGGTACGATGCACACGCTGGCCGACGCTTCAGTGATGCCTTTCGGCAGCACCATTCTGTTCTCTTGTTGGCGTCGTCAAGGTGCTCCAGGTTCCTGGCGTGGTGTCCGGCATCCGCTCCCTGGTCAGGGCCCCACACCCAACGCGACGGTCGGAGGGAGCCTTCGAAGTTTAGGAGTCAAGGACTTCAATGGCTTTCCTGAAGCAGGGCCCTTTCTATGAGAGGCAATCACAGACGAGCGATGAGGTTGCCGACTTGTTCAGGGTTGTATCTTATCGCATGCACATGGATGCACTCACCGCGTCCTCCGACCAGCACTTCGGAGAAGTCTTACAGTTACCACGTGCTACTACTTGTGAAACAAAGATTGCTTGCAACGATTCTATTGGCAGGTGCTTTTAGACCAACGGTGTGGGGCACAACGAACACCTGACCCGGACTCCAACAGGCCCTTCACCTTCGCTTCTCTCTACTCATGGTTCCACTCGGAGGGGTCTATCAAGCGCAGCCTCCACTATCGAAACTACAGGCTCACTTTCAGGTGCGAACAATAAGGAACCTTCCAAGCTTCGCAGCCAAATCTTACTTGTTCCCCTGCTCATCATGGCAGAACATGTAGATCTCCTCCGTAAACTAGCCTTCAGCAACAAACCTGAGAACATGTACATTCGAACCGTAGTGGTGTTCCACCAAACTACGTTTTCGCGCGCGATCGCGAGGAACGCGGCTGCACGGTTTGCAAGCTCACCTGTCGCAGTTGTTTAACTTATTGCTGATGTTCAGCTACTTCGGCGATCATCCATACGCTGAAACGGATACTCGCAGCACTCGGTGAAAAGGGTGCCACCTGAAACTCGGATGTCAGGAGCCTCTTTCAGGAAGCTAAACCGAGGGAAGACCAGCAGCGGCAAAGTCGTCGGTCACACAAAAACAAGACAACGTGCGTGCAAATAGTCTATGCTTGCGGTGCATTGCTATGTTGGCTCCATTGATCCGCACTTGAAAGAAGGATCCACTTTCGGTCTGCCAATGGTCCAAAGAAGTTGAGGAAATGGTAGCTTCAACCCGTCCTCACAATCGCAAACTCCCAGCTGTGGAAGTTGGCTGTTCCCTCTGATACGTGCACTCACCATACCTCTGCGCGAAGTTTTGTCGGCAGGGCTTGGACGTAAAACTCATTGCTGCTGCATTTGTACAGACACACCAACCAAAACACTCAGCCAGCCCACGAAGTAATGATATATCGACACACTTGCACCGCCCAGTGGAACAGAGCTCACTGTAAGCAAGTGGTGGGACAGGTTTAGTTGACTGTGTTTGGGCCATGTCTCGTTGCCTTGGCGGAGCTGGGTGGCAGGGTGATCGTGGCCCGAGCCTGGAGGTGGTGGCCGGTGGCGGGATGTTTCCCAAAGAGATGTTGTTGAGGGCCTCGTAGTGATTCGGACGAGAAACGAGAAGAGGCAAGAAGGTGGCGCGTCAGTCGGTCGATCATCGCCAGGCGGAAGGTCAAGCCTCAGAAGAACGAAGTGAGAACAAAAAGAGCAGCTGTGCCGCCAGGGCAACCTGAATTATACCAGCTTGTGGAGCCCCTGCGCGAGTTCGATCAGAGTCAACGGAGGTTTCGTGGCCCGCTGCGTTGAGAAGCAGAGCGAGAAACTGATGCCAGGGGGTACCAGGGGGCACCATGGGGAACCCATGGAGCTGGTTCTGGAGTACGAAAACCAACAAAATGGTGACAGCGTGCATCTTATGCCCTTCGGCGGGAAAGGAAAACCCGGAGGGCCTCTCTCGAAGGGATGTGTTGCTCCCAGGAAGATGTACAAACCGTTCTAGGACAAGGCGGCTTTAGCAATTGCAGAATGCATCTTGTCACGTTTCAATGAATTTGGGAGAAGCCCACATGAATCAACAGCACCGGGGCTAAGAAACGAGCAACCTTGCGTCTCGTAGCCGAGTGATGAGGCTCGAGGCATTTTTGAATTGCCAGTAGTTCGGTTTGGGTAATTGGAGATGGCATCAAGCTTCTGCTGTTCCTCTTCATGTAAACAACAATCCCAAGCCGCAAAAAGGAGGGTAGGAACTGCAACGGAAGAAGTCCTGCACGCTTGCTGAAGGCATGCCTTCCTGCACTGGCCTAGAAGGCAGAACTCTGCCCGGCACTTGGAACCGTTGACCGTAAACCTGCGGGGCATCAATGCCAGTTATGAACTCGGGTTCGTTTCACGATGGTGCCGGTATTGACGACAGTAAGGTCTTCGGACGAGTATCTTGCTGGACGGTGAAGTTGTGTCAGAAATCGATTTTCCAACAGTTCTCCGTGTGGGGAGCAACCCCATCTTCCTCAAGGCTACCAGGGCTGTGCCGCACGTCATCCATCGTACACTTCTTGAAGGTCAACAGAGTCTTTCGACCCTAGAGTGGCCCAGGTCCGATGCACAAAAGGCATCGATATGCAGAATCCCTGCGCATGTACTACTCACACTGACTTTTAATTGAGTCTGGCTGACACAAGCCTGGACGGTCTTGTCCGATCCCTCCGCCAGCCTTATGGTGGAAAGCTCGACGCGTCGCCTGAGCAAAGGCCGACCCTCACACCTGTGAAGATCATCTGAAAAGATGGGCAGAGCAGAGAAACGAGGCCGAGCCTATCAGGGTCGTGTCATGGGAGCTGCGGCACCGGACTTGGCTCGAAGGCGGTGTGAAAGGTCTGCTAGGAGAATGGAATCCAGACTGCTCGGAGCAGACCGCCAAGGCAGAGTGTTTGTTGCAGGCTTGAATGAGTCTAAAAAATTTGCCAAAGTTTTTGAGCAGGCAGCAATCTGATGAAGGAAAACCTTCCGGCTGCACCTAGCAGGCGCGCATGTTGCTGGAAAGTTGCCGCATGCTCAATCGACATCGTGGAGGCTCTGTGCAAAGCAGAACCGAAGCGCAATTGTAGATGCCGAGCGGCGGGTGCGCTTCCAGGCCATGGAGTTGAGAGCGCGAAGCCAACTTGCTGGTTGCTGGACTCTTTACCTGGCTGCAAGGAGCCTGACATCATTGAAGTTGTCAGCTGGAAGGATGCAACACACCTCATGCAGTACAAAGGCAAAAAGAAGCTTGAAGAGGACAGCTCTGGGTGTGTGCGACCCATGTCGAGTTGAGCAGGTTGCATATGTTGGAGTGGGGTGTCGAGCACATACTCTTTCATGTTGCACAATTTGGGGGCAGACAGCGGGGAGGCCACTGTCAATATGAAATTTGCGTCTGACTCTATTCCACACAATGCAAGGAGGAGTTCATGCTTGGTGCTCTATCTTCCCTTCCTCATCGTTTCGCTTTGATGGCAGCCTTGATGCCCATGGCCGCCCGGAGAAAGATGAGTTTGCACAGTGGAGTCCACTTGCCAAGCACCTGTCGCAAGTAGTTACACATGCACGGTTGAGCCGCCGCTAGAAGTTGCGTTCATCACATGGTTAGTGTGATTGAAGCGACTTAAGCCCAGGTTCGTTCATCACATGGTTAGTGTGATTGAAGCGACTTAAGCCCAGGTTGTCCGTTTTGCAATCGGGATCGTCGATACAGTGATGTGAGTTTACAGTGCCCATGCCTGAGTCCGCGTCCCAGATCGAAGATGAATTCAGCAAAGTCATGGCATGGTGTTTGATGTTCAGGGTCGCTGCAAGCCTGCTTTCGAATTGACAGCTTCGCTGGTCCTGAGCCAGCATGTTCAAGCTGTCCATGAACACTTAGTTCGTGGATCATCGCTTCCCTGCCTGGTCCTGATAGAAGGGTGCTGGCTCTCCCAGAGACCTTGCCAGATACCTCTCGGGATTTGGACAGTCCGGCTGTTTGCTTGGACGGCCGCAATACCTCCTGAAACCGGTCTTCCGTGGTCCTAGTGCCATGCAAGGATTAACCAGAGCTGCGAGGGATTTTCGGAGGCCTGAGAAGGCAGATCCAAATTCAGAAATTTGGATGTCAATTCACCCTCGCTGTACAGCATGCATTGTCCCTAGGTGAACACTCGCGGATTCGAGCAAAAAGGTTGCCGCACGGAGCCCTACAAGAGACCTTGTCGATAGATGGTCCAAAGTCTGGACAATTGCAGGGCCCCGGCTCACCAGGTAAGGGCTTGGTGTAGTCAGAAGGCAGTAGAAAGGAAGCGATGGATCTGCCGAGACCTATCGTCATGGACTCTGAAGGCTGATGCACTTCGTCAGAGCCTGCACGGCAGCACGGTGTGTGGTGTCAGGAGATGGATTGAAGACAGGCCGCGCCCTGCTCGGGCGCCTTTTGCTTGCCGGCAGCGCCCTCACACCGGAGGGCCTGGATCCCAAGATGCACAGTGTGAAGCCGCTGCATCTCTGTCATGTTCGGTTGGTACGATGAGGCCTACTCAATCTGGGTTGGACGGCTTCTGAGTTTGCGAGGCCGGTAGCAGCTGACCACGAAGATGTGACAGGATTTAGTGAGGGTCCAACGAGAGCAATGGCAACGTCTCAGGAAACCAACTCCGCGTAGTCGTGTAGCATGGGAAAAGCCGAGATAGCCCCCGACTTTGCGACACATGTGCTGAATTCTGCTTGCTCGATGCTGGTGCCCTCGTGTTCCCTGCAGGCCTTTGGCTTCCCTGTCGTCAGAGCCGATTGATTTGAAGGGCCACTCGAGATGCCAGAAAGTGAAGAGCCCTCTGAGACCAAAGCGTGTCCATTTCCAGGCTGGCATGAAGTTCACCAGCTACCCTCGCCACACTTTACCGAGTCACCCACATGCATGTCTCTACGCCCTTGGAGGAACCCGATATCATCGAGGTGCCCAGCTGGAAGGATGAGACGCGCCAGATGCACTACAGGGCACAACCCTCCGAGGACCGGACCGGCCTTGAAGTGCAACTGGCGCATGTGTTTGTTTGTGTTTGTCTTTGTGTCTTTGTCTTTGTGTGTCATAAAGGGGGACTAAGTTGTTCAGCGGACTGCAGACAGGAACGACATCAAGGCGGACTTGTCCGAAAGCATGGCGCGTTCTCACCCCTAAGGTTTCGGACAACCATTGTCACCAGCAACGGCACACTGTAACGTGGAGCTTGCTGTGGCTTAAAATCAAAACGCTAACTTCAGTTGCTGGTCCTTCCCCAGGAATCTTGCAATTCGATGTGGCGATTGCTTACATTTTCTGTTTTTGTTAGAGCCTTCCTGTATTCGCTGGAACTCGGCTCTGACTCGGGAGGAGGATCTCCTGGAAGAGTCCGTGAAGCTCTTGCTGCGGACCGCTAAGCGTTTCCTCTCTTCACGTGTCGCATTTGCAGCTGCCTCTGCAGCTGCGATGACCGGCATGGTGTCTCGGTTGTATCTCAGCTAAGTGAGTAGCTAGGTGTCTCAGCGCCGGTGGGTGTAGAAGACGAATCCGATGGGATGAAGAGCGTTGCGGCATTTCCAACTTTCTTAATTGTATCGAACTACTCTGAGGTTGCGGTTGGAGTTGTCAGCACAATGCAGCAGCTTTGATGAGAGTTTCACTAAAAGCACCACGACCAGATGTCTCTGGACGTCTTCCCCTGGTGTAGGACATGCATGCCCGAGTGAATCACTTGGGATGCTTTGTTACCGCCTGCTCAGCAGCCCGCTTGAGCTTTTCCCTCGCCTTGGATTGCGGCGAGTCTTGCATTACTGCGTCACAGATATGTTCAGGATAAAGGGGCTCAACTTGCCTCTTGCACCTGGTGTCAATTTTCAACTGCGGATGCTGCAGCATTCTGTTCGGAATTTCCAAACGGACAGGTGTGAAAGTTTCGTCCGCGCCTGCTTAATTTGAGCAAGTCAAGAGAACTCCATGAGCGAGTTCAAATCCACAGGGTGGACACCACGAACACTACGACATGAAGCCACCCCACCGAACTGCTTCTCTCTACTACGAGGCATCAACTAATGCAGATTGGATTGGCGACACCAAGCTGTACACATAAGGCTTGGTGCATCTCCCTTAAGATCCGCGCGTCGAGCGGACCGGCAGCGGCCGGTGGAGTGGTAGCAGAGGGGGCCAAGGAGCTTCCTTGCAGCGAGCATTCCCAACAACATTGCCAAAGGAAGTCTTGATTGCGATGTGCACGAAGAGGGGCGTGCGCAGCATGCGGTCAATAAGCGACGATGAACCGATGCTGAAGCCGTGCAGGATGTTCGTTGCATGCTATGACAAAACCCTACTACATGTCCCTTTTCATGTGTGACGATGTTGATCCAAGATATCTGAGAGCATCCTAGCAGCCGTTGACAAACCTGCACGCCTGAGCTTGCTGAGATGATTTGATTTCTGCTAGCCGTGCGACGCGCCTTGGGCCTACTCTAGGTCAGTTCCAAAATCATTAAAATTGGTGATGAAGCCGGGCCGGGTGTGTCTCCGAGGAGCTTGAGGAGCGATGTCCCCTGCCTGGCAGATCGCTTTATGTTAACCCAGAGACACGCTTTCGCTTCGAGGCAGGCACGTCTTGCTCGATTGCCGGGCTCGGTGCTTCGAGTGCAGAACTCAGCACGGGCGTGTTTTTGGATCTGTTGCAGTGATCGGAACGTCCCAGCCAGGGCGGCCGAAGCTTCTCGAGGCTGGAGTCGGGCCAAAGGAAAGGAACGGCTTTCTTCGCCTTTGGCTTTGAGTCGTCTTCAGTTGCGATGTGGCCGTGGTGGGCGGCGGCGTCATCGGCACCTCTGTTGCGCTGCACTTGGCCGCGCTGGGCAGGAGAGACGTCGGCATCTCAAAGACGGCAGTCTTCTCGGCATGCCGGCCGGAGGGCCCCGGAAAATTTCGTGTCATTAGATCAGATCGTGGTCTTCGAGCCGGATGCAAAGTACACTTACGCATCGGCCCCCCGTTCTGCCGGTGGTTTGAGACAGCAGGTGTCGCGGCATCGGCGTAATGCTATCTTGTTGGACGCATGCGGATTGCAGTTCTCCCTGCCGGTCAACGTGGAGCTGTCGCTTTATGGCGTGGATTTCCTGAAGCGTGGTCTTGAAAGGCTCTGTGAAGGCCTGTCAGAAGCTTCATTCTTGCGTTCATGTAAGCTTTTTCTGCCTTGAGGCATTGATGTGGACACTGATGTTCAGTTCAAGGACACGTGCTAAGCAAGGGCGAGCCTTCTCCTTCCTGAAAAGGGTTAAATTCACAGACAGGGCTTCTGCATGGTGACGATAACAACTGCTTCCTGGGTCCACTTCGCCCCCCGGTCTCGGCTAGAGAGGAAGGCTTGCCCGAGTCCTCAAACTTGAACCGTGTGAGCACGTGTGCACCCAGTGACAAGTTAGGCGTGTGAAAGCAATCGTGCCCGTGGTACGACCGTGTATGCTAGCTCTCCAAAGATTTCATCTTGTAACATCGAAGGTGTTACGCTAAGTCAAACTTCGCAGGAGTTTGGTGTTTGTAGGTCTCCGAATGGCCGTGGCCATTTCGGCTAGGAGGCCTCCTAACGGGAGGCTATTTCAAAGAGGTCAAGGAAGGGGAACGGGGTTAACAACCCCGCGTTGCCAGCTATGTCGCAGAGCCAAAGCCCGACGGAGCTGGTCCCAAGCAGCCCCCCGGAAGAGGGGGTGCTAGAGATGGAACGACAACCAGAGCTAGTCCCGGTCAGTGGAACACCGGGTGTGGACCACGACTTGCTAGACCGAGCCTACAATCACCTGCGGAGTCAGGGGATGGGCACGCTAGAGCTTGCGGCCCAAGAGCTGGACGAGTGCGAGCTCATAGCTAGGCAGATCTGCGACGAGTTGGGGGTACCCTGCCCTAGCTACTTGCCGGAGGTGGTACAAGAGTGGGTGGAAGGAGCCAAGAAAGAGACCCGGATCTTCCAACGCGCTAGTGGTGCTAGCCCCCGCCGGGGAGCGGAACCGGAAGCTACTGGACGAGGGCTTCATCTCCCTCGCTAGAGAACGGCTACAGGAGCGATGGGTGGTGAAGCTCAAGCAGGAGCTGAAGGATATCACTGCTCCAGTTCTGGCCAAGCTGCAGGGAAGCCTGGGCCCAGACCGGGCAGCTAACTTGCTGGTGGGAAGGACCCGCGCCAGCACGCTAAAGCGGTACCTCACCGATAATAAGCAGTGGAGACTGTGCCTAGGGGAAGCTAAGCTTCGGCTACCACCTGGGAGGCCCGCCGACTTGGTGGACTTCTTGCTAAGCAGGAAGGACGAACCCTGTGGCCGGATGCTAAAAGCAATCGCCTGGGTGGAGCAGGTTGCCGAATTCCCGCTAGAGCAGCGAGCTAGCCACGGGCGGCTGGCCTGGGCCGCTAAAGACAGAGTTGATCATGGAGGAGGCCGCTAGGCCCGCTAGGCATGCCTTTCGGGCGGCGATCACCTGCAGAGGCCCAGGACGTTCTCATGGCCGCCCCGACGTCGGCTCCGGTGTCTTTCGCTCCGCAGCACCCTCCAGCTCGGAGCCCGGCAGAATCTTATGCCATGCAGGATCCGACGGTCGAGTGATCAACGATCGCCGAGGCATTTCGGAATTTTGTGCGATGGCCCCTGAAGACTAGGGCGATCGCACCGCCGATCCGACTTGCGTGACAGTTTGAGCCCGCTGATCTGCCGTGCTTTTTCCGAGTGCAGAACAA